TGTCTTCGTGGATAAGGCCCTCGATACATGCGAGCATATCCAAGCCTCAAAGGTACAACTTCGCCCTACCAATAACTCATCAATGGAAAGTCAACCACAACGACAGCAGTGATATCAGCTACTACTTTCAATGCATAGATAGCCACTCATATCCCACATGTTGTCAGTGAATAGAATCATCTTAAATCATCGTACAACGTACGCGGCATACAAACGACAATGAGGTGAACAGAATTCACGGACCTTACACGGTCTATTCCACTAGTTTTTCTATACTCCGACTGATTGCTGACTATCCGTAAGCATAGCGTTTGAAATGGCTTCAGTGTAATGTGACGACTCTGTGCCAGTTCCTGATTTTGAGTATTTGTGACACTCGCTTGGAATACTGAGTTCACGGTGCTGTAAACACCTGATTGTCTCTAGCAGATTGGGGTGGTTGGACTGCGTGTTTTTCATGCTACTTACACGCACACAGTAGTTAAACATTAGCGTCGTTCACCGGTCTACTGCATATAGGCACTCCAGTTAGGCTTATTCGCTTTGGTGGAAAACAGCAGGGATAGTGCAAACCCGTTTCGTGAATATTTTTATTCAGTATAATGTTCGGATACCAGGACCCAACCTGGTCACGTTGGTTGTTTTTTTTTGTTTTTTTGTTGAATTCTTCAAGTTAGGGTTCCTCGAATGGGGCAGGTTTTGGCAGCTATGGTAAAGACAAATCTCAGAGATATGGTAAACACAAATCTCAGAGAGATTTCGGCCATTTATAGAAGGATGGGAGTCGAATGTCATCATTCACTTTTCTCCCCTTGGTCTTGGTGAGTGCAGTTCCAGTTAATGAAACCATAGCGATTTAGTTTGGCCATGCGTTCGTACGCGCATTGTTCCTGTCAGCTTTTATCCAAGGTAGTGGATATCGCCCAAAAGCAAAACCCATATTTTTCCAATCAAGAAAGCCATGATTTTCTATCAAGACGTGAATGTGTTTCAAATTTTCCGCCGGAACCAAAGTTATGCATTTAGGAACGAGTATTAGGTTCCATAACTGTGGTTAGATTCGTCCATTTCCTGACTGCTGGCTCTGCATTCTGTATGCCTCACTTCAGCGAAAGTTGGCATGTTGCCAAGCCACCCACGCAGCGATACAACGAATCTGCCAGTTCGACTGGGGACACATCCCGGACATTTGACAGTTTGTTGACCTTACTCAAAGCTTCCAGTAGTTCTGCGTATTAGTGGAGTCTCCAGACGGTTGAAGGTGTCATGTCAGTCTGGATCAACGTTACCACCTTGGTTTCGGCGAATTTGTAATCCGGTCCGGTCGTCACGCGTCACCATAAAACAGACTGTGAGTCAGCGCTCTGAAAATAAGTCAATAACTAACTCCTGGATTTGCCATATGGTTCTGCAATTAAAACCAAACTGTTCTTGAAAGCCCAGGGGCACTATACATATGTTTTATCGGGAATCGTCAGCAGTGCGCATCGCACGAAACTCGGGGGAACCTGGGATCCGTGACCTCTTGACTGGCAGTTTTAACACCCATACCGTTCGAGCGGCTGATAAGCAATGTGATTAGCTCACTAGATTTTCTTTTTCAGCACAGGATGAAGTCTTCATTGAAAGTTTCCAATTCTTCCCACACTAGCAACAGTTAATAAGTAGTTCAGAGAGAGAACAAAATTCAACGAAGTGTGAAACTTCCTACTGAGAAGTCATCACTCGATGAGCCAGTCAGTGAACACATGATCACTTGTGGATTCTGTGATTGAAAGATGAGTGGCGCTATATCAGAATGCTGCTCAGTCACTCTTAGCCGAACGGTTGTGTTCAAGCTATTTTACCTCGGGTTCGGAACTCCGTGCTGGAATTTCGTGAGATGCCTAAGGGATGCTAAGGATTAAGGAAAGAGCTGTACAGAGCTTCTCGGTCACTCAGCATAGATTGGCAGCAAATACAGTCAGTTCATCCGGTATTAGCTCTGGTTTGTTTCAAGTCTACAGATCCTGAGAGGACAGAAAATACACCACAGCTGCAGGCGAATACGGGCACTTATTAGTCCGCTCTGAGGGCGCATTAACTGATGGAGGTTAAAACCGTCGAACATTACAATAAAAAGGCAGTGGATTCTACGGAGCTCGGACGCTTCAGGATAACGCGTTCAATGAAGAATCGTATCGTTCAGCTGTAGCACCCTTTCGGTGCCTAGCTGCCATGCCACGCGAAGGAGGCACTGCCAGGGCTACTGCCAGGTTCCCCAAGCTTAGACAGGAGAAGTCGAGAGGCAGAGGTCGGGTTCGAACCTCTGCGTTCAATGGAATTCCTTCAGATACTTTCATAAAGTGCATATGTTTCAGAGAAGTCCGTGGCCTATCCAACCAAGGCACGGTAGGCTCTCGATGAGAAATCGCTGTGGTATATTGGATAGATACTTTGTATCGTGTACGCTGGTGCTTCCGGTTACATCAACCAGAAATAAGTCGTCTTGCACCGAAGACCCGAGGTCATTCCACTTTGACATCAAGCCAGCTGGGCAGGAGGTCCGACCAGCACCCGTCTCTTCACTCCGCTACGAGACCATCGAGTGTTCGACATGCATATCCTCAAAGCTCCCTTCTACCAGTTATGATCATATCTAGCTGACCCGATGAACTCAATCAATCAATTCAATTCAATTTATCGGCTGTAAACCGTGTGCCACAGGTACAATGGTTCTAGCTGCTACAGTTTCGATTACCGGAAAACGGGAAGGTGGGACATACGATCAAACCTTGCAGGCAAAGGCATGTTGACTTTCCGAAGAGTCCCGGGGTCCCAATCCAGGGAGCGGCAGTTACTAACCCGACTTAGTTTACTGTTAGTGTTTTCGTACTTCGTTGCCAGGTCATACACTGTTCACCTCTCGGTCGCTTCCACTCAGCACAGGACTCGGCGAAAAGAGCTCTGCGAGGCAGACGATGCGGAGTACGTGGCCCAACCAGCGCAACCCATGAAGCGTGAATAATTCATCTATTGCGGGAGAGTTCCCTCTTCCTAAGATCATTCGGCGTACCTCATCATTCATAAACCGGTGTTCCCACCAGACCCGACCAAGGCTTCTGAGACACTGATGATCAAACACTGACATCTTCCGTATGTCCTCTGCGCGTAGGGGCCACGTCTCTGATCCATAAAGCAGTATGGATCGCACCACCCGATGAACTACGATCTGAGAAATCCAGAGCGCTTCATTTCAGTAGTTTTTATCTAAAAAAACTATCTCATCTTTAAGCTGTACAAGAATGCTGCGCATAAAGTAGTCGGTGCAAAATCAACTAAACAGTTCGTTTCGACAGACTGGCAAGTTTTCATCGATCCGTGTCACTCGGTTGTTGTTGTCCGAGGATGCACTTCTAGCCTGAAAGAAGCAGGGCGATTGCCTAGAATGATCGAGCTGGCATTTCCTCCCAGACGGAAGGCAATTAGACCGCGAACCACACTATAGCACCAAAAACCAATGTGATCGCTTTGCTGCGATAGGGAAGGAAGGGTGTAGAACATTCCCAGCAGGCGCTCTACAAAGCAGATATCATACCCTATAGAGGAGAATGTCGGTAGCTCAGGTAGCGTAGATGGTTGTTGGCTTGTTCGCTGAGCTGGGCAATTTGGTTGCAAACGTTTCATCACCAATCGAGGTGACATCATCAGTGCGTAGTTGTGCGTAGCGGTGGGTTACCAGATATCATACCCCCTTGTTTGTCCTTTATAAGCTCTAATCAAGTACACTGACGTAATGGTTGTATGGTAGTGAAGGACAAGTGTTGTTCTCTGAGGTTGCACGGGTGTAGGTCAGTCAATGCTCGGTTCTAAAGGCATTGGCCTGTGCTCATACTAAGGTGTTCGTACAGATGTAGCCAGGTTGGTCTTTGTGGAACTCATGGGGAATTTATAGAGTAACGATATCAAACTATTCACATATTCAAAGCGGAAATCTACTGGTTCATAAATGAAATTGTGAAACCTGACCAATTGGCTTCCAGGGTCCCCGATTACGAGTACCTAATGAAATCGTGAGTGAGCATTTGACGGCTCGATAAAACATCAGATTTGGTGGTTAGAGAACGCTGTTGTGGAAAACCATGTCTTAAGCATCTACTCTAACGCATCCAAAGGCTCGAGCACGTTTCCCCGAACCTGTAGGGTAAACTGAGGATGCGCATGAAGGATGACCGTCTTTGTTTCGTCTCAGAGTCGATTGGAATTTGGGGATTCAGAATGGAGATTTCGTTTTGTAAGTGAAGTTAATCTATGCTGAAAGGTTTAAAAGCACTGAGAGTCATCAGCAATCCGCACCTCAAGAAACTGCAGTAGAGAGTTTCGAGTCTGCGACCAGCCGGCTAGTAGTTTGAACGCTCAACTGTTTGGCTAAGAGCGGATGATCAGCGGTATGATAAAACCGCATTTACACAGGCGAGAGGGGGAGAGATAGCTCCGTGGTTAGAGCACGAATTTACCGGTCTGAAGGTTCCAAACCGACCATCGCCTCTCGAATTCCCCTGTCTAGGCTCTGGACAGGCGAGAGGGGGAGAGATAACTCCGTGGTTAGAGCACGAATTTACTGGTCTGAAGGTTCCAACCCGCCTCTCGAATTCCCCTGTCTAGGCTCTGGCAACCTGGCAGTATCCCAGCCCTCGTGTTTCCTCCGGGTGACATGTTTGGTAGGTACCGAAAAGGTGTTACATTTGGACAGGCAACTGGGAGATTAACAGCTGTACAGTACTTCTCGGCTTTCCAAAATTTATTGGCTTCACTTACAGAACCAAATCAGAGAGTTTAGCTCGAAAGTGCCTGGTGCGTCGGTTAGTGATCCAACGTGCAGGGTACGGAAATGGTGATGCTTAAATATGATGTCTTGTTGTTCAAACACTGGGGTGATATTATTGATTAGAGCTCCGAATGACCTATTTTCCCGACCCAACCTCACCGAGAAGAATCGGAAGACAATGAACGTGTACAGTGGACGGGATTTTATGCATCAACTTCGACTGTTCTTGATCGACTCATGCAACGAAATGCGTCATACTCATTAGGGGAGTAGATGTTTCAAGGTAAGATAGCGAGATAACAAACGAAAAATAAAAGGTCTTTTTTGAAACAGGGTGCTAGGACAACAAACAATGGAGATTGAATTTTCGTGATCACGTAGCATGTGGGTGGGAAGTAAAGGCGATAGGAAGGCATGCTGGCGAGGTGTCTGGAGTGTGGGCTGATGCACTGATGACGAACGCTACGGCGTTTACTGGCTTCAAGCGGGCGCGACCCCGGGATCACGTGAAAAGGGGGCTACCGGATAGTGCGAGGGCACAATAGGACAATGCAGAAAACAAGCGCGGACTAGCGGGTGGGGGGGTATTTTCGTAAAATCAGGAAGGAACCTAATTTGCGAACGAATGGCGAGTGAATGAAGCATGGCCCACAAGAGAGCCGTGCGCATGTGTGAACCATTAGGCCTTGGTGCGCCGAGCTTGTCGAGAAGCTCGGTCCAGATTGGTTTTTATGTGCTCCCTTACTCGGACTCGAGCTTCGGAAGTGTCCAAATCGAGACCCAGACGAACGAGACGCGGATTTTCAAGAATTGTCTTGGTCAGCATTTGTTCAATCGCAATACCAAGTACCGTCTGACGTTGATTTGACAAATGCAGTTCAGTGATTGCGCTCTTATCGTGGTTGATTGCCTCAATCAGTTTGACCAGATGAGGTCCTGCAAAAAGAGTGCGTAAACGAAAAAACGGCTAAATAAGGTAAAAAGGAGTCTGTCACATTTAGAGGGAACTCTGAGCCCCTTAGGTATTCATTGAGTCATTTCGTGCGGTCCAACACAAGCTAATATACAAAATACCATGGGGATTGACCGTGACTAAAATGTCAACAGTTCGCCAGAAATGCACATAGAGTGTCACTGACCGGTAAGAACTGATTTCTGATCGCATAATTCACTTTAGCCCTTCACTACGACCTTGTCAAGCTAAACACCGGCTACTGTTGAACATCAGTTCTGTGCTAGAAATGACCATTTCAACAAAGATTACCAAACAACCTCCGCGCGTCTTCCCATATCGGAGGATGCCAACAAAGCAGGCGACACAACTCAAAATGTATCGTCAAGCACAAGATCCGTACACACTGACGCTCTGGTCAACGAAAGGAAGTGAACCAGGAAACATGATTAGGTCAGCTGCTGAACTAACTAGACGGACCCCGTGTTCTCAAATGAATGAAATGTCGAGGATCATGAACGTTGACTGTTCTACGTTTTGAGTACTCAGGTGGTCTTTCATGATACCTAATGTCTTCGCATTGGGCTCAGCTGCGCTACTAACATCAACAATAGCTGAGGGCCCGCGCGTGTTGGAGATAAAACGGACTGGTTTCTTCTGTAAGATACACACTACCAAGTAAGGGACCCGGCGACACCAATAAATACGGTGGTTTTTCTAGTAAGCTGTTATGTCATTTCACGGCACAGCAACTATTCGTAGGTATCACAAGAGGACTCGAATGTTTTTCGAGCCAGCCATCGACAGCTACGAAGTTATTTGACTTCCGAATGTAGCCACCTCGTGTGCCAGGAATAATTTGTGTTTCTCGATGATCCTCAAGGGTGAATCACAGGTAGGTAGGCGACCATTTTTGCATACCACCGAAGGTTCATGATCGCATTCCATCACATACAGATCAGGATTGTAGTGACGTACAGCCACTTTGCAGTGTGAGAATAAAAAATTCCTAGGGAATAATTTGAAAAATATGTCCACACACACTGCGATCACAGCTCAGCATTATTTCTGCGGTAAATGACAAGGTGGAACTCGAAAGGTTCGATAGATCATGTCATGTGAGAGGGTTCAGCTTAATGAGTAAAGTAGTCAGAGCAAACAGCTGAACACCATCGCGTGAGTGCAGTCAAGCAATCAAAAATGGCTGACAAAGCAAAGTACGTATAAAGAGCAATAGAAAAGTAATGCTATTTGTCTTCACGGTGATGTGAGGGGTTGTGGTAATATTCAATAGAAATTTAACCTCTGCTGAAAAACCGAGAAGGACTGTGCAGCTGTCCCTTGCTTGTTGGGGAATCATCAGCGGTGTACCAGCAGTTGAACGCTTTGTTTTCAGTCTGATTGACATCGTCAGTTCTTTCACGACCTATCGAACAAGAAAGAAATGTTCGGCTGTAGCACCATGCCACCCGAAGGCTGGGATACTGCCAGGTCGCCCAAGCCTAGACAGGGGAAGTCGAGAGGCAGAGGTCGGGTTCGAACCATGGACCTTCCGGTCAGCAAATTTGCGCTCTAACCACTTGGGTCATCTCACTTAGTAGTTAATTGTGACATCGTAGGAG